CTGGATCGAACATCGACCACGATTAAATTCGTTATACCAATTTTTTACAGTGCTGTAGGATGGCGCTTTATCGCTGAATAAAGAATTAAGTTCATCGAAGCACTCTTGCCTTGACAATCCGCGTCGAAATTTATGAAAAATAATGGCACGAAAATGTTCACGATTCAATTCCATTTTTTGAAAGAGAAGAACTTTTCAATTTATTGTCAGCAACACAAATGAAGCTATAATGGTAAATCGTCTGCTGAATTTATGTTTAAAAATATCAAACTTTCGATTAATATCGTCTGCGGTCGTCTAGCAACACTTACTGTTGCCAAGGCCAGAAATATAAATAGCAACCCTCGTATATATATTTATATGAGTTTAATTACTACTACATATAAGTAATTACAACAAAAATATAAAAGCATAATAGTCGTTACTTTAGCGAATTTCATCCTGATCAAAATATAAATTTATTTTTGAATATGATTATTTTTCGGTAATTGTTTTGCTACAAGCACTGCTTTTTTTTTAATTTAGATCCGAATAAGAAAAAATATACATTAAATTATCAGCGATGCCAACTTGCTCCGTACAGCAAATAAATATTTTAATGTGGCAGAGATGCCAACTGCTCCTGACATGCCAAAACAATTAAAAAAACGGTAAATAACTACGAAGTAAATTTTGCAAATATGTGACTATTTTTTCTTGCTTTTTAAAAGGTACAACATGACATAACTACACCAAAGTGGTGAGTTATATAACACTACGAATTATTTAGCAATAGTGGTGGATAAAAATCTATTAAATTGAATTTATTAAACCAAGAATCACAATTGATAAGCTACCACTTTAAAATATATATTTTCCGTACGGAGCAAGTTGGCATCTCTGATGTGGTAGTGTATCATTTGTCATTCTTGGTTTAATAATTTCAATTTAGTATATTTTTATCCATCACTATTCCTAAATAATTCGTATTCTTATATAATTCTCCACTTTGTAGTAGTTACATACCCTCCAACTGCTACGGAATTTCCGTAGTTTCAGAAATCTTCTTTTCAGACGGTAGCAAAATTAATGTCTTAATATTTAAAAAAAAAATTAATTTCAGCGTAACTTGTCCACTATTACTTATAAAAGTGCTGGCTATATGGCTAGATTCTTAAGTTCTGATAAAAGTTTTATGAGATATCCATTTGCTTTAAAAATATCTACTTTGGTTCGCTAACACTAGAAAGAATTATTTTCAAAATCCTCATAAGTTGGAGGGTATGTAGTTATGTCATGGTATACCCAGAGATGCCAACTTGCTCCGGAAAGCAAATATATATTTTAAAGTGGTAGTTTAT